TACTGCGATGAGTTCTTTAGAGCGGGTAGATAGTGGCTGTTTGCGTTTGATTGGACTGAGTGCTGTTAGCGGTTCTCTGGGAATATGAGGGTGGAATGTGGACGGATGTATTGAATGTCGATGTCAACGCTTATACGTCCGAAAACTAATGTTACAATGATGACTCTGAAATAAAACTATTAACTGTTGCAGGGCTTCCTTGCTTGCCTGGACTATGAGGCGAAATGGTATTTTGAACGAACATAAAAAGGAGCATGGAGCATGAGCTTGTTCTCTGTGGTACGAGGTATTCCTTTTTTGTGTTTCTTGTCTGACACCGATCATGTAGAAAGTTAGTCAAGGAGGGAGTGAACGGATAGGGTGTGCTTCAGTATGTTTTGAGCAGAAATTAGATGAGTGCAGGGCGTGGTCTTTGTTCCTGAACCTAGTTATAAAACTTAATTTAATGTCATGTCGGTTTCAGTTACTTTTAGATTATTTGCATTAAAAGAGTCTGTAATGTATTTTAGTTTTCTTCTTTTCTTTAATTAATCGTGCTGTGACCCCTCACATTTATTTTGTGTCTCGACCTACTCATTGGAAACCACTGCCTTAGATAACTAGTAGTTTAGTAAATCAGTAAAAAATAGCCATGAGAATGTAATTTATGTTGCCATATGTTGTACTTCTTATAGACTAACCCTCTGGCTGATGTATATGTTGTTAACTGATTTACACAGATGTTTGCTGGAGTCTTGGTTCAAAATCAACTCCTCAATCAACAAATCAACAGTTAATGGCAGTCTGTGTCATTATCGTTATTGAGTCTCTGAACACTTATGCGAAATTGGTTATGACATCAGCTTTGGGGAAAAAAAATGATGTACTATTGTTGACTGACTCCCACAGTGTGTGAGTGCTATGATTTCTTGTAGTCAGATTAAATTCATGAAATTGCAGATGAAGCATTTGCAGATACAAGCTTTAAATTGAAGTGAAATTGATTTCATGGAACATAGGCTTGTTGGTTTAGCTTTTCAAAGTAGAATTGTATTGCTGGAATTGCACAGAGAAGTCAGTGAGTTTGGTTACAGATGATAAAAGTGAACTAAATCTTGGTGGAAAGCTTCAACATTTTTAGACTAGATGAGACAGAATGCTTATCCAATGAAAGGAATGCACGGAACATCAACTGAAAACCTATCCAAAGTTAGATATTCCATTTTCTGCAGATAAAAGTGTTTGAATGGAATGAATGAGAAATCCATGATGAATGTCAGCACTAACATGGATTCGCGCAGACTGCAGACAGAGGACTAAAATATTAAAATATATTAAATAAAATTATTTTGTGTTATGTATATTATGTAATTGATGAATTATTATCATCTTGTTGCCCATGTTTTTTCCTTATATAATGGAGCTACATAACATCTGGTTGTAAATTCTGTCTCAGAGGACAGCAAAAAGTTAAAATATTTAAACTGGACGGAAATGCTTTCTTCCATTGCCATTGCCGATGTTCGAAATATCAGTCAATGCATTTGTTAACTGCTGTGAACTGTTGCCTGGCTGCCACAAAGAATGACAAAGATCCTCAATGAAGCACAAGCTTGTGTTTCTCATTAAGTAAGTGCACATTATCAAAAGGATTTATTTTGCCCAAACCAGAGTTGGTGATTGTTGTTGGAACAGCAGAAAGACTAAGAAAGATGGCTTTGAGTTTTATTTTGTTTCGTGTGTTGCGTGTTTTATGTTAGGTGAGGTAAAAGGAGTTGGTTTTTATTTTATCAGCGGAGTCTGTTGGACCATAGCATGTGCTTTTTTTTCCTGAAAAGCTGGTGCTCTAGTCTGAAAATCAAGAAACATTTTATCGAGGCTGCACATCTTTTCTAAAGGTTTAAATAACAAATGAAATGCTCACTGAAGCACATTAAAGCTTTAACATTTTAGCTGCTTTGTGCTTAAATCACAATTTTGATTTGAGCTCAATTAACAAATTCACTTTAATCCATGTAAACAAGAAGCAAAGGATCATTTAATGTATTTGTCACATAATGGCCAATGACACATCAGCGGAGTTGTGATTGTGAAACATTTGACACTGTTTTCTATCATGTTATGTCAGTATGAGTGTTTATTTCACACTACATCCCAGACTCAGTTGCTTACATTCCACAATGTGTCTTCCCCAAGCTTGATATTGTTGAGTTTGAAAAAAAAAAATAATAATAATGGTGGCTACTGGTGTCTGTTACGCACTAAATGCAATACAGTTTAAGTGGCTCGCTGACACTTTTCTATTGACAGAAGAACCCAGAGGAATCCATCTTTAGCAGTTTTTTCCCCCATTTTCCTGAGTTGATCTGCTCTGAGTATTTGACAATAGACGAAGTTTAAAAAGTGTGGGCAAAATTGAAAGATTACCTCATGCTCACTCTTGTGTCCGCTGCCTTATCCTTAGAAATAACAGCCAATGTTGTGAGCGGGGAGAAGGGGCTCTGAAATGCAGGCATCTGTCACTTTTCTGCGGTGGTGGCTGGCAAAGGGAGGGGAGAGATAAGCTGTCAGGTGTCTCAAATTGCCTCTAATATTTTTATTTGTCGTCTGTGGTTTTGTTGGCCTATTCAATGCAAAAAAAATTCACACAGATATTTAATGGAATACAATAATGAACTGATGACATAATCAAGGTCAACAGCTTGCCAGTTTGCTAGTTGAGTTTGAATTCAATGAGGCGCATTTGGCACATTGCATGCCACTGCCATCAGTGTGTGAATGGGGTGAGTGTGGCATGTGGCGTGTACAGTGCATTAAGTGGTTGAAAGACTAGAAAGGCGCTATATAGTACAGTCCATTTACCATTGTTTTGCAATGTGCAACTGTCAGAAAAACAAGCTGGTATTGATAAATGAATTGATAAGCTCGGTTGCATACGATTATGATAGATTGGACAATTTGGAACCAGTTCTCGATTCCCATCCCTATTTCTGACATGGCTGTACAAGATTCTGTTCCCACTTCTGTAGGCCTCCTTCAGAGCTGAATTTTGCTGTAAACCAGGGTTGTTGTATGTGTAGAAGGTTTTAGTTGGTACATGGATTAATAAATATCACGTTGCAGAGTAACACAGGAGAGGTGTGCACTTTTCAGCTCAGTGAATAGATGGTGTGAAACAGGAAGGTACAGAGCTCCCCTGGGGTCACCTGAGAAAATGAAAAGTAGCTATGTGTAAATCTGTACTCTCAAATTGAAAATCTGTGTGCAATGTCTAAACTGTCAGATTTATAATCAGTGCCCATGGATTCATAAACCATAGTTTGCAATCAGTGCCCATCGGCACACTAGGCTGGTATGACTCTGAGAGCACGGTTTATAAATTGCGCATGGATTTGTAAACCGTGAGAACAGACTTTTTTTTCCTCAGCTGACCCCAGGGGAGGTCTGTAGGAGAGTGTTGCCTCAGATATTAAACTGTCAGTATAACAGAGACCAGTGGGAAAATATGAGGGTGAACAGGAGCCAAGAGACGTGATGAAGAAGATATGAGAGGAAAACACAATGAATCATGACTGAGAACATTAATATCTTAAATATTAGGATGAACAATCTGTGGCCAACACAAACTAAATAAGAAATGAATAACTGGGACTCTGGACTAGCCATATGCATCATCAAATCAAATTGTGGAAGCGGTAGCAGCAAAAAAAATATTATTTTCTGACGCTAAACTACCATTAAATATGAGACTGTAGGGAAGAGGAATGGTGGCTTTGTTATTTTTGACTGCCTTCCAGAATTTGTCCAGGTCTGACAAGAATTTGTCCAAAAAATATTATATATATATTAGTTCCTCAGGCGTCTAAATGACATCTAATGAATTTGTTCCCCTGTGCGTCTGGCTAGGGACCAGGCTTCTTTCCTTTCCTTAAAAAGAGCTGATAAATCAGGGGAAAACCAAGGCCATAGTCTATTTCATGCATGTTTATTAATTATGAAGCTGACTTCCGGAAGTAATCCAGGGCTAATTCAACATCTGGAATAAAAGAAGTTTAGTGAATATCTCTAGAAAATATGTAATTTAGAAAGGCTTGTGGGTTAAAACTTCTTCTGGTACATAACTCAAGATTGTGTCTTTTCAGTTTTGTATTTCTAATGCTGTCTGGCAATGATTGCTGATACCCAGGTCAAATACACCATAGGCAGCAATTATATCACATCTGCTGGAGAGGAGTACATCTTTGAGGGTCGATTTTGAGTGATCTTAAAGACTTGACCTTTTAGGATCGGCGCTATACAAATAAAACTGTTCAAATCAATTTGGCTCATATTTCAACACTATTGAAAGAGAGCAGAGGTCTTATCATTAGTCAACTCCACAGAAAATAGATGTTCACTCACTGACACTCGTATTCACTGAGCTGGGCCTTGAAAAGCATGCTAGAGGCACGGTTCTATGGAGGGTAATGTCTGTTGGTTCTCCACTTTGGTCTACACTGAGATATCTCAACAGCTACTGGATAGATTGTCATGCAATGTGATTCAGACATTCATGTCAAGAAACCAAATATTTTAGTGGACGAGAGCAGGTAAAATTTGATGAGGCCTGCACAGAATACTAGAAATGGTAACGGTAGATAAAATATTTTTACTTTTTTGGATGTTACCTAGCTTCAAGGAGAACACATGGGCAATCTGGACATTAAAATGCTAATTAATAAAATAATATACACCAAATAATTGATTTAAAAATATTTTATTATTTTCTTCATCACCACTGCAACATATCGTCATCGTGTTTGATTTAGCTGTCTTGCCATTCCGTCGGACGATTTGTCTTTCCTGTGCTGTCCAGAAGGTGCTGTCCATCTATCTACCGTCTGCCTGAATCAATGTGAATGCAGCATTAGTCTTGTTGATTAATCAGTCTTCAGTAACACTATTACACAAGATAAGTGTTTAACTTGCAGATTACTATAATTGTTGTAATTATTTTATCATCTGCCTTTTTCTCTCATCCAGGCTGTGGTGTGATGAGCACCATCAACCCCCTCTGCATCACGTTACTCTTCCTGCACAAGCTCCTCCCCTTCCTATTGGACCACTGAAGAGACTCCAACCAAAATTATGTCAACCTGCAATGTTATCACTTTCTATACCAAAAAAACAAACAAAATAAGCAGCAGTCAGTGCCCACCAGGGGAGAAAGGGTCACATTTAATCTATGTATGCCGCAACACATCACTGCAGGGATTGAAAGCAATGCAACAAAAGGATAGGAGAGTTGGACTGAAGAAACTAAAGAAAAGAAGGATGCTTCTCAGACTTAAAACAGAGATGAAAGCCACATGACTATTGACAGAGCAGAGTGTGGATGTGTGTGTGGAATGATAGGAGCATCCCTACTGATCCACACACAGCCTATATACAATGTGGCCACATGACCCTCCTCAAACACTCCACTCTCACATTTCTTTTGCAGCCACTGTGAACTCTGACATCACAGACCATTTCAGTGTGAGACCTACTGCTCAGTTCAACATAATCTTTTATTTGTTATATGAAGACTTGTGACCTCCATGTTTTTTTCTTTGGAAGGGGGCAATTTGATCAGCATGACCTGTCAATCATTTTACTGTAGCAGTTTCAGGCATCTTCATTACTCAGAGCTATCGTTCATCCAGTGTGTCTGATGTATGCCATGTCCAACCCCTCCTACTTTTGTTCTCATAGATGTATTCCATAATGTAAAAAACAAAAAAGCAGATATCTTGATTAAGATAAGGCACACCTCGCCATTGTTGTTGTTAATCACCTCCAATAATGTTTATTTTTATTAAATATATGATGATCAAAGTGAGACATTTCATTTCGATGAGACACAAAATGATTTATTGGTAACCTGACACACAGCATTTGAGATGAAAGTATATTGTTTTTGTAATAAAAGGTAGATTTCAAAGGTGTATGTTAATGGCTGACTGTCACCACAAATGGTTATTACAATAACATAAGAAAATATATAGCAAAAGACTGTCATTAAACCTCATTACTAACACAGTCAACACTAGCTCTGTGTCCATGCAGGGACAACTCAGGTGAAGTTCATGTATGAGTACCAGATCTTTCCCTTTCGTCACTATCATCTTAGTAGTTCCCAGGAACAATCATTCTAATCTAGGAAAAGGTTTCTCGGATATTAATGTCCTGACTTCCATGACATTTGCCATTAATGATGATCAATTAGAATACTTGGTGAACTCCAGTGTTGGGCAGTAAGGCATAACTAGTAATAATATTACAGTAGTAATATTACTTTCCCTAGTAACTAGTAGTGTAAGTAATTACTAAT